GAGTCTCCGACGTAAAGGCGATTAAAGTGCGCGTCCGAGTGAAGACTGCGCGCCACAGAGAACATAGCCTACAACTGACAGCAGCGGCAACAAGCGTTCCTCTTGATTTCAAAAACAAAACATTTCAGCGCTAGATCTCTTATTTAAACGAACTAAATTAATGCTCTGCTTAACAGGATATGTTTTATTCATGTTTAAAACGTTTTATTTTCCGATATATGGTGACTCAAGCACTGATGGATCAAGGAGCGGTCCATCAGTCACCATATCGGAAAACATGGAATGAGTCAGACATAGCCCACAGTACTTCTGACTTATTATGTTTTTTAAAAGAATTTCGTTTTTATAAATTGTATTTAATTTTAATCAAGGATTTTAATCAACAAGTTGACTGATAAATTCTCAGAAAATGGATTTAATACCAATATTTTGAAACGGTGCGTAATCCCCCACCGGGAATTCCGTCCCCCCTCTCACAAAATAGTTCCAACATCCCTGCCCCTGAGTTCCTCCAGCGCCGTTGACACTGATGCCAGTGTCTATTGCCTGTGTGTTGGCTAGGTGCCTTCCATGTTCATGGTTCCTCCTCTGAGTAACCCCCACATGTGTTTTTACACTGTAAGCCTCCTTGAGCATGTGTCTTTCCCTCGGCAAGCCACCTTGCCACTCCTGGAGTTGAAAGTTGCCACCCCACGGGCTGGTTACTCACTCCAGTGTTCCTCCATATGAAGCCCCCCTAACGGGCCATATGTGACCCGCTCTGGCGAAATGAGTCGGAAGTCGCAACGTTCCATTTTAAGATATGGGCCGATTATGTGGAAAAACAATGAAATAAAAAAAAAAAAAAAAATTTGTGCTAATTTCAAAGAACAGACATTCAAAAATAATCTCCCAGAGTTTCGTAGTCCAGATAATTGAGTAAAGGTATTAAAATAACGATTAAAGTTGTCAAAGCTTTAAATTCGCTGAAATAAACATTGCTCTTCTCAACTCCCCTCGTCACCTCTGAGCATTTCCCGGGTATCCCCTAAAACGTTGAACTCACTGGAGGCTTCTAACCTAAGCTGTGTGAGTATATTTATCTGCAAGAAGAATATAGGCTGTAACGATCGCGACACGATCAGATCCACGAACCTGTGTCGCGTTGTGAGAAGACAGAATCACGACACCAACACGTCCCTTCAACTCCCGAAGTTATCCTTCACGTCCAGACCCAATGCTAGCTACCACATCTTTAAATTACTATTAGTATTTTTGAAGTTAACATTATAAAATACGTAGACTTACACCACAAAACTAGTTAAATTATTACTAAATTGTTTAAAATTGGGCAATTTCAGCGTTATGGAGGAGATCCATAATTCCCAGATAATTAAATCTTTTAATAAATTGGCCTATGTGAACCACTGCACAAACCAAAAGTACTCACCGGATGAAGAACGGTTGACTCTCTCCAGAACATAAAATCTTTATTTTATTTTCCGTGTTCGCATTTATTAGGAAAATTTTTCGAACGTGACCGTTCTCTGGAAGCAGCACTAAAACTTTCACAGAGCTTAAACAGAAAGCAAGCACAAAGCCTTTCTTTAAAGTGAATTTCGTTTTAAAATAATTATCTTAATTTAAATCAATGGTTCATCAACCAATTACTAGGATTTAATAAGAAGAAATAAATTGCAGACAATGGATAGGCTAGGTCTAATCACGACGCGGAGACGTGCGGCACGTGAACTGAAGCTTGTCTCATGAACCGAAAGTCAGCGTATAAGGTATCATAGCCTCACAGACATACTGAAATGTCTACTTTGAAACACAACCATTCAAAATGAAAGAAAACAGACTGCTCTCTGCTTATGTGGGCTAATCCGTATGAAAACTGAATTTCTCTCTGACTCCTCTTCAATCTTTCTGATTTTAGAACATTTTTGTAAAAGTGACTTTTTAATTATTTATTCCAAAAAACTTAAACATAAGTTGAGCTTCAGCCTTGTTAAATTGCATTTATGTTAATCAATTTGGTCAAATTAAGCTATATAAAATAAATAGTTTATCCCTTAAAATGCTATGGATTTTGAAAGATATCAACAAAAAAAAAAAAAAAAAAAACGGGCAAAAAAACTTTAAAAGCGATTTTCTCAGGTTTTCAATTGGAAAAAAGGGCAGACGACCAGAATTCAAATGTGTATATCTTTACAACCATTCAAGGTATGACTTTGACCAGGGTATCATTTGAGCTTACAGTGCCCTCTTTCCATTAATGTCAAAATCTCAATTTTTGAATTTGGGTCACTGTGACTCATTTTGCTGGATCAGGTCACATATGTGTATCCCAAAGTCCTCCCTACGGGTAGGCTTTCTGCGGTATATTTCCTCTGAGATATGCTGCCCAGTGTACCTTGGTATTCCTGTGTTAAGTAGGACTCCTTCGTCCGTGCCATTATCACAACAGGGAGATCAGACTTTCGCAGGGCATTGGAAGACAGTTGTGAAGGTGGCATGATTACACGGGGACCCCATTCTCGTCATCCAACGTAACTCAGAGTGACTACGAAAGGGAACGTCTCGGTTACGGATGTAACCCTCGTTCCCTGAGTAGGGAACGGAGACATTACGTCTCCCTGCCACTTCTGCTATATCGCTGGAACAGCCGAGTTCAGTCTTGGCTCCTCAGCGAAGAAACATACCTGCATGTTGCGGTGTCCTCCTTTTTATACCCACGAGGTAAGGTGGAGATATGCTATGCAAAATCCGCAGACCCATGGCATTTTGTTTGCCATTGGCTCATTTTGTAATACTTGAAGTCGATAGGCTTTCTAAGCGAGACCCCATTCTCATCATTCCACCTAACGTCTCCGTTCCCTACTCAGGGAACGAGGGTTACATCTGTAACCGAGACATTTCTGTACTGAACAATTCAACAGATGAAGATCTAAAATGGGACGCAACCCTCCATCCTTTTTTGGAACAATGAAATAACAGCTGTAAAAACCCGACTCTCTGTCGGGTGAGTACACCTGTTCTATAGCTTCCTTCGCTAATAGGGCCTTTACCTCTAGCTCATTACCAGAGCCTGCTTGGGATGTACTACTGTGAGTAACACCCCGTTGTAGCACAGAGGACGAGAACCAAACTGGATTCTGTATCCTTTCTCTACTATCTGCAGGACCCATTGAGATATATTTGGCAGTAGCTTCCAGGCTGCCAGAAAATTTACTAAGGGAACCAGCCTATCGAGAGACAGATCTGTGGCCCGACGCAGTTCGCAAACCTCATCGGGCTCCACTCCCTCACTCCTGTCTAAATCCCCAGCAGGTCAGCCTGGTATGCCTGAAGCACAGCCATAGTGTGAAGGCATGCTCCAGCCTGACCCGCTGCCGTACATGCTTTGCCCACTAAAGTTGATGTTGTCTTTAATGGCTTTGTGGGCAAAGCCGAAGTCTTCAGAGAAGATGCTGGACCGGGTGACAGATTGCTTGCGAGCGTCTGTTCAGCCCGCATAACCATACTCATTCAATCCCCTTATACCTGAATAAATATGCACTTGGGGACTGAACACTCATGACGAGTATGGTTTATTCCAAGATCTGGACAGCTCACTGTGCAGATCAGGGAAAAAAGGAAGGCTTTGTGGTGGAATTGAAATATTTTGCTTGTCTAGTTTGCTTTTAGGACGAGTGTCTCTTTTCTCAGCTGGCCAATCAATTTTGAATTTCTCTACAGCGTGAGTAATTACTTCCACCAGCTCCTCATATGCTGGGGAAAAAGGTGACTAATCTTTTTCCTCCATGTGTGTGCTTACACTGTCGACGTCAAGCACATCTAACTCCTCAGAGCTAGAGCACTGAAGCATCGGGCTCTCTCCCCAGGCAAAAGGAACCACAAAGGCTTCGAGCACAGGATCCTCCTGATAAGGAAGGAGATAAGGACCGGGGACCCGTCTCCAACCCCTCTGAAAGATCCTTTTGCGATCCCCAGGAATGCATTCTTTGTGCTGCCTCGGCAGCAGCGGGTCCTGCACCCTGATGATTGCGAGCCTGGCCAATTTCCTTGAAAAGTGCCAGGCGAGAGCGGAGGAAGCTCCACTCCCAAACAAACTACACAAGGCTTGTGTGTGTCCCCAACCGTTAAATAACGAGGGCAGGGAGAAGCACAGTGTTTGGAAAAAGTTTTTTCGCCATACTTTCCAATATAAATGCAGACAACAGTAAATAAAACTGACAAAGACACAGATCGCTTGGTGAGGCAACAAAAGCTAACGCAGGTTTGCACCAGATGTGCTTTTATCTCTTCCTAGTCATGACGTCACCTGCCCGTGATGCTCATTCTTTCCATTGGACTAGTTGACATAGATGCTTCTGATGCATTCACGCTGGGGATGTTCCCAAAGCGTCATTGACGCATCGCAAGTTCCCTCAAAAGGGTGTTCCTCATTGGTTAATGCAGAAGCTCAAATGTGCTACGTAACACGAGAAAGAACCTCATTGGTTCTTGCTAAAGCTCAAACATGTGAGAATGAACCTCATTATGTTTTGCATAATCTCAAATGTGCCTCACATAAAATGATAATGAACCTCATTGGTTCTTGCAGAAGCTTAAATGTGCTGATAACATGAGAATGAACCTCATTGGTTCTTGCAAAAGCTCAAATGTGCTGCATAACACAAACCTATCTGAATGGAGAAGTTGTGGTGTAGTGTTGGGTTGGCCGGGACCACAAGCAGATGATCACATCACATCCAAGCAGACTCTTGGGTTCTGCTGGCTGATTTCATTCTTCTGTCATTTATTCTTTTCAGCCATTGTGGGCAAATTCATTGATAGATTTCTCTTGCTTAATACCAAGCCGAGAGATTTTCGTGTGGAAAACTTGACCAGCACTGGATCTAGTAAGTCACTGTACGAGTCTCTGTCCATAAAGTTCCCTGCAAACAAATGAATCTTGCTCAATTATGTCATCCACTATGTAGAGCTTTGAAAGGCACATCTCAACTGTGCGCACAATGGAGAGGGACTCAAAGAACAGTGTATTTGAGCCTTACAGGTTCTTTCACACTAGCATTTTATTTGGTGTAAAGGATGAGGGGAGGAATCACACTCGGGTGCAGACCAAGTGTGAAAGTACACTTCCATTACGCCAGAAAGTACGGGAACTACGTTACATAATGTAATTGACTGTGCTGTTTGGTTCTCTCTCTTTCAGATATAGATGAGTGTGTGCGATATCACAGGTGTCAGTTTGGCTGTCAGAATGTTGCGGGTGGTTTCCGCTGCAGCTGTCCACAGGGATACACTCAACACCAGCAGTGGAACCAGTGTGTGGGTTAGTACACCAGTGTGTAATAGTTAATTTTTATACTGTACAAACCGTATATTCTATACCTTAACCCTTAAACTGTGCAACCTAAGCTTACATGTAAATGGGCGTAAAACAGAGATTATTGCATTTAAAGCAAACCAAACTGAAATCTCACTGTGAGACCTTATGTGAAAAATCTGGGAGTCCTTCAGGGGTGTGGTTCCCGAAAGCATTGTTAGCCTACTATGAACATAAGTTTTATTGTTATCAGCAGTTCAACGAGTCTGTTTACCAAAAACATTGTTAAGATGAACATTCGCAAACAGCATCACACAGTTGTGTGTTTGAGTGACAGATCTCGAGCTGTGGTTAGAAGCAGTTTCTTGTTTGCATGACATGTGGACTCAAATCCTCATCTTGAGACAAACAAGCAAGCTGACATTCAGTACAATCTATATCCTTTATTTAGAATACATACAAATGTCATTTACGTATTTTAGTTTGTCAAGAGATTTATAGCACAGTTTTATCAGTGCACATGTGTGAAAGTGCTCTAGTGCGTAAGAACGAGCCTATGATTGAATATCTAATTCACGAGTTCACACTTACATATAATTGAGGAATAAGATTTAATGCGTATTTGGCGTGCTGTCCGGAGGGAGGGCTCTGAGCTCGAATCCAGCCCGAACCCAGAGTACTCCCCCCGTATGTAAGTGATTTTTTAGAAAGAGGAGTGTGGAGAACTAGGAGTGTGGAGAAGGGGTGGAGGAGGGATGCTGCAAACTGTCAATGAATCGAGGTAAGACTGCTGAGTCTATTTGTACCCTCTCATCATTGATTGCTGATTGCTGTCCACTCGTGTTAATTATCTGAACATGCTCCTCCCGAACTTAGTTAATAAAACTTCATATAAAGCAAAATAACTGAGAAAAATTATAAATAGTTCTCAGATGCTATGCCCGTAATTTATAGCAAAACATCTAGCATTAACTCAATCTCAACTTCTTTTAATAAAACGTCTCAGTTACGTATGTAACCCTCGTTCCCTGAGTAGGGAACGGAGATGTTACGTCGGATGACGGAGAATGGAGGTTTGGCATAGAAAGCCAATCCTCTTCGAGTATTAAAAAACGAGCCAATGGCAAAAAAATGCCATGGGTCTGCGGAATTTGCATAGCGCATCTCCGCCTCACCCCAGGAGTATAAAAGGAGGAAGCGGATGCCACCGCAGTATGTCTTCGCTGAGGAGCCAAGACTATACTCGGCAGGGAGACGTAACGTCTCCGTTCCCTACTCAGGGAACGAGGGTTACATGCGTAACCGAGACGTTCCCTTTCGTAGTCACTCCGAGTTACGTCGGATGACGAAGAATGGGGGTCCCCTGTGTAATCACGCCACCTTCACAGCTGTCTTCCAGTGCCCTGCGCAAGTCAGACCCCTGACGCACTTAACTTACTGACGAGGAGTCCTACTTGACACAGGAATACCAAGGTACACTGGGGAGCATATCCCAGAGAAAATATGCCGCAGTACGCCTACCCGTGGGGAGGACTTAGGAATACACATACGGCCCAGGGGGCTTCGTATGGAGGAACACTGGAGTCACCAACCCGTAGGGTGGCTAGAATCTTAACTCCAGGGGTGGCAAGGTGGCTTGCCGAGGGAAGACACATGCTCCGAGAGGCTTACAGTGGAAATACACATGTGGAGGTTACTATCAGGAACCATGCACACGGAGGCACCTAACCGACGTCCAAGCAAGACACTGGCGTCAGCATCAACAGTGCTGGAGGAACTCAGGGCTTCCGTAGAAGGCTAAGCTGAGAAAAATCGCTCTTATCCAGTCGGTGGAGTGGAATGGCGAGCAAGCGAAGACACCTGAACGGGTCCAGTACTGGCCGGGTGAGCGAATACAAGAGAGGACATGGGCTCCACTCGGAGATTATAGAATCTAGCGAATGTGTTGGGTGTCGCCCAGCCTGCAGCTCTGCAGATGTCTGCTAGCGAGGCGCCATGCGCTAGAGCCCAAGAGGAAGCCACACTCCGGGTGGAGTGAGCTGTCACACCAAGGGGGCACGGACGACCTTGCTGCTGGTAAGCCAAAGCAATGGTGTCCACTATCCAGTGAGGCAACCTTTGCTTTGAGAGAGCCCTTCCCTTCTGGCTCCCACCATAACAGACAAAAAGCTGGTCTGAGGTCCTGAAACACTGCGTTCTGTCTACGTAAGCACAGAGGGCGCGTACTGGACAGAGCAGTGCCAAGGCTGGGTCTGCCTCCTCCAGGGGCAGCGCTTGCAGGTTCACTACCTGGTCCCGGAAAGGAGTGGTAGGAACCTTGGGCACATATCTAGGCGGGGGTCTCAGGATCACGTGAGAGTAACCCGGCCCGAATTCCAGGCACGCTTCGTCAACGGAAAATGCGTGCAGGTCCCCTACCCTCTTGATGGAGGCCAGTGCAACCAGGAGCGCTGTCTTAAGCGACAGGAACTTAATCTCGACTGATTGCATAGGCTCAAAGGGAGGCCTCTGCAGGGCGCTTAAAACCACTGAGAGGTCCCAAGAGGGTACAAGAGGAGGGCGAGGAGGATACAGTCTCCTCGCTCCTCTCAGGAACCTGATGATCAGGTCGTGCTTCCCCAGAGACTTACCTTCAACTGCTTCGTGATATGCGGCAATGGCAGCCACATGCACCTTCAGGGTGGAGGGAGACAGGCTTTGCTCCAGCCCATCTTGCAAGACACTTATCGAGCATCTCCGGGGGTCTTCTCGGCGAGAAGAACACCAGTTGACAAAGAGGTTCCACTTCAACGCATAGACGTGTCTCGTGGACGACGCTCTAGCGGAAGTGATAGTAGCCGCCACTGCAGGTGGCAGGGTACTTAAACCTGCCTCGACCCATCCAGGAGCCAAACATGTAGCCTCCAGAGATTGGGTCTAGGGTTGCCACATGGTGCCCTGTCCCTGAGAAAGGAGGTCCTTCCTTAGAGGAATTGGCCAAGGAGGTGCTGTCGTGAGGAGTATCAGTTCGGAGAACCAGGTCTTGGTGGGCCAGTATGGGGCGACCAAAATGACCTGCTCCTCGTCCTCCTTGATCTTGCACAGGGTACGTGCGAGAAGGCTCACTGGGGGAAACGCATATTTGCGTGGGCCCTGCGGCCAGCTGTGCGCCAGTGCGTCTGTGTCGAGCGTGCCCTCGGTCAGAGAGTAATACAGGGCGCAATGGGCTGAGTCGTGGGAGGCAAACAGATCTATCTGTGCGTCCCCGAACTGGTCCCATATCAGCTGGACCGACTGAGGATGGAGTTGCCATTCGCCAGAGACTGGACGGAGCCGTGACAGCTCATCAGCTGCACAGTTCCGAAATCCTGGAATGTGTATAGCACGAAGGGACCTCAGGTGCTTCTTTTTTTTCTTTTTTTCTTTTTTTATTAAGGAATCAATATAAAAAAAGATTACAAGTAAACAAACATAACAGTAAGAAAAACAAACAAACAAACAAACAAACAAATGAACATACAAACAAACAAAATAATAATACAAGAGGAGAAAAGTGAGCCAACGTATACAAATATACAATCAAAATCGACAGATGGCAATACGGATGCATCTATATTTCTCTTACCTATACGTAAAAACCCATACACGTGCATACATATTCATACACACATACCTGCATGTATACACACATACCCATATATCCATACATACATACATATATAATTAATAATAATAATAATAAAATAATAATTCGTTACATTTATATAGCGCTTTTCTGGACACTCAAAGCGCTTCACATAGAAGGGGGGGATCTCCTCAACCACCACCAATGTGCAGCATCCACCTGGATGATGCGACGGCAGCCATATTGCGCCAGAACGCTCACCACACACCAGCTTACTGGTGGAGAGGAGACAGTGATGAAGCCAATTGGTGTATATGGGGATGATTAGGAGGCCATGATGGACAGAGGCCACTGGGCAAATTTGGCCAGGATGCCGGGGTTACACCCCTACTCTTTCGAAAGACATCCTGGGATTTTTTATGACCACAGAGAGTCAAGACCTCGGTTTAACGTCTCATCCGAAGGACGGTGCTCTTTTTGACAGTATAGTGTCCCCATCACTTTACTGGGGCGTTAGGACCCACACAGACCACAGGGTGAGCACCCCCTGCTGGCCTCACTAACACCTCTACCAGCAGCAACCTGGCTTTCTCAGAAGGTCTCCCATCCAGGTACTAACCAGGCTCAGCCCTGCTTAGCTTTAATGGGCAACCAGTCTTGGGCTACGGGGTGATATGGCTGCTGGCTCAAATACATACATACATATACATATACATAGACATACATTCATATATATACATACATACATGCATGCATCCACATACACAAATATATACATACATACCTACATATACACACACATACCCTCATACACATGCACACAAAAAAATAAATAAATGAAAAAAAATAAAAATAAATAAATAAAAATAAATAAATAAAGGGGGGTATAAAAATAAATAAATAAATAAAATAAAATAAAAAAGGTACAAAGAATATAAAAAAACAAAAAAAAAACAAAGGGGAAGAAAAATAGAAATTAAAAATAGGGAGGATGAAGAGTTAAAATGGCTATTGCATATTGATTTCGCTTGAGTTTGCAGTTGCACCTTACTCTCCTGGATGTTTTTTTTTTTTTAACACCAACGCACAATGGCTGGACCTTCCGGATCATTTGTGCATGACCCGGCTGCGTCTCTGCCTGCACATGGTTAAGACTGTAAGACTGAAGTGTCTGAGAGGAGTTTACCAAACCACATTGGCCGGACCTTCCGGATCACTGGAACATGATCCGGTCGTGTCTCTGCCCGTGCTTGGATATAGTCCAATTATTATTGTTGTTATTACTTTTAAATGACCACTGGTTGTAGTCTTGAGTTATGCATTTTTAGCCAGGTGTCATGTTTTTTGTTTTTTTTCCCCCATCCTTTCTTATTCTCATGACTTTGTCGAGGGGAGGGAAGGAAAAAAAATTAAAGAGGAGAATAGAGAAGAAAAAATGGGGAAAAAAATAAATAAAAATAAATAAAAGAGAAAAAAAAAGGCATGTGTGGATCATGCCTTAAAAGACCTTCACACAAATCATACCTCAATAATTAAATGTCATTCAAAATAAATACGATATACATAGGCCCACGAACATATACATAATGAAGCCTAGACATATATACCGACGTTCATACGCATAACATCACTTACACCCACCTACAGACCTTAGGAAACATAATAATAGAAAGATTTAAATACATAATAAGAAGAATATTTAGAAGCATAATAAGAGATATTAACATAAATTATATTATTAGGCCTACGCACACGCCCTACACATACGCGATGTATTAACTAATACAATGCAAGATTAAAATGCAGAACAATACCACGAGTATGTCAGATGTCTTTAACCCAACTACCATATGCATTCCATGCTATATTAACTCAAATTTAAAGTATATTCATTGGGTATTCGATAGTATTAATATGCATGGTATGCGTCTCATATATTTAACATAGGTAACTGGTGAGGCTCTAATTCACCTATCAGGGCACATTAATGTTTAACGATTCTGAAATGGAACCAAACATTTGTTTGAATTTAGTTAATTTGTGTTTAAGGGTCGCCGTCTGTTTTTCTTTAGTAATATGATCTGTTAAAAAGTGCTGCCATTGAGTAATACTGATTTTGCTTTTATTTTTCCAGTTAATTAGGACAATTTTCTTGGCGATAACTAGAGACAGAAGTAAGGGTGATGCATGTACCAGTGGAGGGTTTACCTCAGGTGCTTCTGACTCCATAAGATGAGGTGTCGTGCGAGTTGCGACATATGGCGAGAGCGTAGACCCCCCTGGTGGTTGATGTACGCTACTGTCCTGGTATTGTCTGAACGGACTAGTACGTGTTGACCCCTGAGCAACGCACGGAACCGGTGCAGGGCAAGGCGTACTGCCAGCAACTCGAGGCAATTGACATGCATAAGGCGCTGGGGTCCTGTCCAGGAGCCCGCGGCTGCATGCCCATTGCACATGGCACCCCAACCCGCGGCAGAGGCATCCGTGGAGACAACAACATGCCTGGAAACTCGCTCTGGAACACCGGCCCGTAGAAAGCTGAGGTTCCTCCACGGGGTGAAGGTCTGACGGCAGGTCGAAGTCACTGGAACTCTGAGCGTACCGTGATGCCATGCCCACCTCGGGACTCGATCGCGAAGCCACAGCTGAAGCGGTCTCATATGAAGCAATCCGAGTGGCGTTGTCGCGGCTGCGGATACCATATGCCCCAGGAGCCTCTGAAAAAGTTTCAGTGGGACCGCACTCTTGCCCTCGAACTGTCGAAGACAAGTCAGCAGTGAGTGTGCGCGCTCGCTCGTAAGCTGCGCGGACATGGCGACCGAGTCTATCTCCATACCGAGAAAAGAGATCCTCTGCACGAGGCAAAGTTTGCTCTTCTCCCAGTTGACCCGAAGGCCCAGACGGGCTAGGTGCCGGAGCACAAGGTATCTGTGTTCGCAGACCTGATTTCGAGAGTGTGCTAGGATTAGCCAGTCGTCGAGATAATTCAGGACGCGAACCCCTTGTTCGCGAAGGGGAACAAGGGCCGCCTCGACAATCTTCGTAAAGACGCGAGGGGACAGGGCCAACCCGAATAGGAGAACCGCATACTGATATGCCTTCCCCTCGAAAGCAAATCGAAGAAACGGTCTGTGTCAAGGTAAAATGGAGACATGAAAGTAGGCGTCCTTCAGATCTATCGCTGCAAACCAATCCCGGGGCCGAACACATTCGAAAATGCGTTTGGCCGTGAGCATCTTGAACGGCAGCCGGTGAAGGGTGCGGTTCAAAACGCGCAGGTCCAGGATCGGTCGTAACCCACCGGTTTTCTAGGGGACAATGAAGTAGGGGCTGTAAAACCCTCACTTCATCTCGGCTGGAGGGACGGCCTCGATTGCACCCTTCGCCAGCAGGGTGGCAACCTCCGCTCTCATGATCGGGGCATTGCCACTGACCACCGTAAAGCGGACTCCCCTGAAGCGGGAAGGAGACCGTGCGAACTGAATCGCATAGCCGAGCCTGATAGTTCGGGCGACCCAACAGGACAGATTGGGGAGCTCTAACCAAGCCCCCAAAAACTGATCCAATCATCCGAGCTACAGGCGTCCCCCCGGAGGGGCAGCGGGGCGGAGAGATCGGCACAGGCGAGGGTAGCATAGTGACCCTGCGCGTGTGCGTCAAGCTCTGCGCCCTGACAGAGGAGACCAGGGAAGGACCAGCGTTGATTTTACAACCTGATTAACATGCTATCAATTGTGAGTCTTTGTGAAAATTGTATTTTTTTTATAATTTTGATGTTTACCCTCTAACAGTCTGTACTTGGGTATCCGCTCCTAAACTTTGGAACAGCTTGCCAAATCAAATCAGAACTGACCTGAATTTTTAAATCAAAGTTAAAACGTTTGTATTGGATCTTTTCTAAAATCTGTGATGCTTTACTGTTCTTCTGAACTGCAGATGACAATGAGTGCTTGAATCCGGGCAACTGTGGCTCAGCTTCCTGTTTCAACACGCTGGGCAGCTTTAAGTGTGGCTGTCCATCTGGCTTCACGTTTGAGCCTGTGTCCATGAGCTGTGAAGACGTGGACGAGTGCGTGTCTTCCACGAGCCCCTGCAGATACGCCTGCTCAAACACACAGGGGGGTTCATGTGCGGATGTCCCGCAGGATATTACAGAGCAGGACAGGGGTGAGTCTGCACCAAATACTGTTACACTTCATCATATTAGCGCTCAAACTACAGTCAAGTGGAATATTTACATAGCGAAAATAGTGTATAGTGGACAAGTAATAGGGATTTCATTATAATATTATAAATGTTTTTGTTTTTTTACTAGCAATTTTGGGCACATCTAATGAAACCTGCTCAACATGGCTGGATTTTAAAAGTGAAGTTTTTTTATTATACTTCTCTTTATTTCATGTTTTTTACTGATTGATTATTATACTATTTTGTGTAATACAATAATAAAAATACTATATTACAGTAATGAGAATCATCATTGATGATTATGGGATTAAAAAAATGTTCGGATGGATTACAAGAACTAGGTTTTTTATTACAGTATTGAAACACAAGAAAGAAAATTGTTATGAAAATAAAACATTTAAATGGTGCTTGATCCTTTAGTTTCTTACCATGTTTGTTACATAGGCCTATTATTTATTATTTTTCTCCCTATCAAAGCAGCCTTTCTCTTTAATTGTCAAATCTGGCATTGTATATTATGAATATTGTTGGCTCTTTGATAATTGGCTATTGTTCCTCTTTTTTTAAATTGCATTGGACAAAAGTGTCTGCTAAATGTGAATGACATGGGTAGAAACACATGTAGCCAGCATTCTGTGTTCAGTTATTGGTCTTATAAATGGATCTTTCTCATCAGTGGGATTAAACGAGTGTGTTCCTGCAGGCACTGTGTATCTGCTGCTGGTTTTGGAGGTGGTGACCAGAAGAATAAAACAATCTTTCTCCTGAAACCTGCTATGGCTGCAAAACCAATGGACACCAGAAGAAAAGTGTCAGGAGAAGACACATTTCAAACTTCACACAGGTAAGAAAAGAGAAATAAAAATCCAGAGCTATTTCTTAAAGGGGTATATTCTCCAAAAAATTACAATTCTGTCATTAATTACTCACCCTCATGTCGTTCCAAACCCGGTACTCTGTGTAAACCACAAAAACACGAATCCCTGAAGACGATGATGTCATGCACATGCGTATTACGTGTTTAGTCTATATTGTGTCTACTGGCCTGGCAGCAGAATAGAGTGTTTTCAATCGTTTCACGGATCCATGTGAATGGGGACCGTTTTGAGAATGGTGTCATCTGTACACGAAAAACAAAGGTAAAACCTCTCCGTTCTAAGCATATCGTTGTCGTGTAAATGTACCCTGAGTCTCATTCCTCTTTGAAATTAATGTTGCACGTGGATGTCCGTTCACTGAACCTCACAAAATATCTGCTGTTCCTACAGGTAAGCAGTTAGTCTTGCCAGCGTGGACGTCGATCAACCACTGAAGTTACTTCTCAAGCGTTCACAACTCAAGCCCAGAGCAGCCGTACTGGAACTGGTGCCTGCAGTCCGATCCCTCGTCCAGCGCCAGACCTACTCCATCACAGCCGGAAACCAGGACGGGCTCTTCCAGATCAGACAGCGGGCGGGGGTCAGTTACCTGCACCGCACACACAGGAACTCTTCAAGGACACACTACACCCTGCAGATCAGAAGTTCTGAAGACCCCAAGGGACCTGCTCCAGCCCTGCTCATCATACTCCACATCACACTCCAGTAGAGGAGCGGTTCTGATGACCCCAATGACCCCAAACGACCCGCTTTATCCCTGATCATCACACTCCAGTAGAGGAGCGGTTTTGATGACCTCGAGCGACCCGCTCCAGCCCTGCTCGTCACAGTCCAGTAGAGGAGCGGTTCTGAAGACCCCGAGCGACCCGCTCCACATCACACTCCAGTAGAGGAGCGGTTCTGATGACCAGCACGTCATCGCAGAAGGTCACTGCTCTCCAACATGCCCACGGTGATTATGTCTGAATACTTAAAGACTCGCACACAAGCTGCCATACACACCATAAACACCATACATTACATAGAGCTAATAATACTTTCTTTCACTATACCCTTTTTTTCTTTTTATTAAATAAAACGGGTTTTTTAAGCCTTTCAAAATGTTCAACCTGAGATGCTTTGAGGAAAATTGTGTACAATGGTGATGTTAACATTTTATGTGAGCATATGCAGTCTTGTGCAACTTGACAGCCTAGTTGGGGACATCTTTTCCATTTTTAAAATGTAAATGCATGGAAAGCCTGTTTTTAACTGGACCTCTATTCCCCAATTCTCCCCAATTACCTGCATTTCCAGCCCTGATTCTCTCTCTCTCTCTCTCAAAAGTTCATTCTTCTGACTGCAGATCATTGTGCTATTATTTATAGTTAAACAAAACATGTTACAAAGCAGATTACACTGTAAATTCTACTGGGTGTAGATTGTCCAAACAGTAAATAAACCTGTTAACCCTCTGGGCTTACAGAATGACCGAAAACTGTTACATTTTGAAATGTTTAATTTTTTTGCTTGATCGGATCGGGCTGAAACTTGGTGACTTTTGTTGTATTACCTATATGAACACACAAAAAAATCAAGGAGATGATTCTGATTTGTTAAAGGGTCGTAAAAAAAAAAGTCACACTTAGCTTCCTCCCGGTCAAAAATGACCGACATAGGAAATGAATGGGAAATATGAAAAAATAGGAAAACTCAGAGAAACTTTTGGTGGTACAAGCTACAGATCAGCAACTGTGCAGAAAAAAAGTGTACAGCAATGAAGGGGTGACACTCTAGTCTAGAACATCAAGAGTGCAAATAAGACCACCCCCCCCCCACACACACACACACACGCACGCACACAAACACACACACATACACAGATAAACTGGCAAGACTGCACCAGCAAATTTGTAGAATATGAAAAATAAAATCAATAAATGAGAAAAAAAATTCTTGCTCAAATGCGCACTCACACACACACACACGCACACAGACATGAGAAATCATGTCTAAACCAACAAAAAGAATCAAAAAGCCTTTCTATGTATTTGAATAGGAAGCTATAGGCAGCCTACAGGCTGTACAGGACATTGCACACATGTAACTATTTTTTAAAGCAACTAGGTGGCGCTCTTCTACTTGAATTATTTTTTTTTATTAGCTGACACTCTATTTTGATGTGAAATGTTGTATTTATTGAAAAAAAAATAAAAAACAATATAAAATAAAAATATGTATATTAATTCTAATGGAAAAAATAGCTCATAAAAATTATATAATTAATGCAAAGTATCATGAAAAATTCGAAATAATAATCATAAAATATTATAGAACAAAATATATATTTGAATGGTTATCCTGGGAAGAAGTAAAGTAAAATTTTAAGGCTTCGTCCGTTTTTGACCGGGAGGAAGCTAAGTGTAACCCATTTACGAAGAAGCCCAGAGGGTTAAACTGTATGTCTTGCCTCATTAACTCCTAAAGCACCTGTCTGTCCGTGGGTACAAGTATCACTGCCACCATTTAACGATGCTTATAAAAGACAGCGTTTCAGACTGAGCTTCAGTTAACCGAGTGCCACAAGATCGTTCTGAGAGCCTCAGCTGAATCATTGCTCAACCAGCTCCTGAATCACAAATATGAATATGGTGTCCGTGTGGCGGTCAGACAAACTGTCCAGTGTTGAACACAAAGGTATGGGCCGATAGCAAGGTCGTCTCTGAGGTCAAGAAAGATAATTTCGGACCCAATGGTGAAAGAGAAGTTTCTCTATTTAAAGGCATCAACACAATAACAACTGATTATCATTTGTTTATTTTTATATATTGCAATAAAGATGTACAAAGCATCAATACCCTTAACCGTTAAAATGTTAGAAAAAAGCATGTGACAAACAGCAGTACAGTATATCAAAACATTACTGTTCCAGCACGATCACTCAGAACCACCCTCATGTTTAGCAGGAAACTCAAACCATCGGTCAACAGAGCATTTCATTAAAAGGCATATAAAAGATAGAAATGTGACCAAACATTGAAAAAGAAAAAGATTGTGCAGACTAAAAAAAAACAAACATCTTAAAAACTACTGTAACATAAGAGAAACAAAAAACAACCTGTAATAAATAATTTCACCATATTAATTTGTTATTACTCCACTCCTTTGATTAATCTGGTTAGGTTAAAAGATATTTACAAGTTAGTAAGGAAGTATAGTGTGAACTAGAGCTGGAACTCGTTGACCTTGATGTGTTAACTCATTTTCACACGATAAGCTACTGAGAAATCTTGAGACAGACTTTGGCAACACATTCTGCAGGACGAGAGATGCTGTGACACGCCACCGTCTCCATCTCCAGAGAACCAGCCGGCCGCTGAGGCACTTGTAGAGCACCTCGTGGTGTGGACCCTACAGCAGCAGCTAATGCACTTCTACATTGCTGAGAAACACACACGCTTTCTTTTCTAGATCTACATATAATACACAAGTGTTCTAATTGTTGAAGTGAACAGGTAGGAGTTGAACTGGTGAATTTGTCGTACGTCGGTGTGTATGTACAGCACTCGTTCACCCGAACAAACGACACATTTTCAACAGGTGAGATTGTACCATCAGCTTAACCAACTTCACCCACTTCAAATGAAAACACATGCGGTGCGCACACACATTTCACTTTTAAATATTCGCTTATATTGAGATCTATAAATGTGAATATATTCGTCACATGGATTATTTCTCAGGTAAAATGGCAGGGCTCTGAATCGCTTGAATGTAACACACACAGAGCTGCAACAAACTGCGCCTGCAAACTATTAGTGTTGGGAACCAGATTCAAAGTGTGACCAAACCAAAGACACTCTATATGACACTAAACTGACCAACGCTTCAGTTACGGACCGCTCTAAATTAAGGCATGATGGGCCATACATCAAACATCTTGTCACATCCCAGCATTCAATCACAAAAACCAACCGGACGAACAGATAACATTCAGAACAGGACAGACTAAATCCTGGACGTCAGACGTCTCCAACATTAAAGATGAACCCGGCTCTCGATCCTGAGTTTAGATTACAATATTTCAACGAGTCGCACGCAGTCCACCTGCATAGAGGAACGAATCAGCTTCATTCAGCGCAGGAAACATGCTGTCCGTGAGAGAGGAAGATGGTGCTTTAGCACGGTACTAACGTACAATTCCAGACGGCTTTATAAAACTAGGAAAGTGGAAAGATGGAGAGCTTTCCTAGACGGCCAGGATTACATTCTCGTTCAGGCATTAGTCCATCTGTCATCTATAATCTACAGCTAGCCAGTGTGGCTGAAGACGACGACGAGTAAAAACTACAATCCTTACTTCATCTGTTAAGGCAAAGGTCTTCTGTGACTCCAGGGCTTTGCTTCTTTTGGTTCATTGTTGGTTTGAAAGGTTCCTTCAGACAGCACTCATCCATCAGCCTCTCTTCGTCAAACCAAAAACTGTTCAACTGTACACAAGGGAAAACTAATATAGTTTTGTTAAAGTTCTGACTTTTTACATAAGACTACGTGAAAGATGATTGTAAAAATCACCCGTAGTTCAGGTCTATCAATGGAGAACATGGAGGAGCTAACACCACAACTCATTCAATGCTTAAAGGAAGACGTAAAACTTTGAAGAAAAAAACAACAGAAGAATAATAAAAAAAAAAAAAAAAAACGGACTACAAAAAAAGCCAGAAAGTATTTTCTAATGCTGCCCAGTGGAGACCTCAGTCCACTCGTGTCCAAGCGTGATCAAATCAAGGAAGATTTACATTTACAACCCAATAAACAGCCTAAAATCTAGATCATAAATCACCAGTCAGGGAAAAATGTAAGTATGTAATAAGATCACACAGGAAGGCACATCCACAAGGCTAGAAAAGTGTTGCACAGAACCGATTTTTTCTTCAAAGTGAGAAAATAAGAAATCAGGTGATTATTGCTTTATCAAGAGCAAATTAAAAAGTACGAAAAAGGAAAAATAAATCCACAACTCAGAAAGTTGTGACAGTCATAGTAATGATAACAATGATAACAACAATCAGTGTAACATGTGCTCAGAAACGGTGAGCTGAAGACAGTGGACACCAGTAGAGAGAGCTGCCCTGGTGTCCGCTTCGTTGAGGAGCGTCTGTCGTCATCATCATCATCATCAGATGTGCTCTGTGTGTGTGTGTGTGTGTGTGTCTGTGAGCTCTCCTGTGGGCGTAGAGGAGAGAGCCACTCTGGTGTCCGCTTCGGTGAGGAGCGTCTGTCGTCATCATAAGATGTGTTGTACTAGTGTGTGTGTGTTTGTGTGTGTGTTTGTGCGCTCTACGAGTAGAAGGTGAGGACGCTCTGGTGGTTCCCGCGCACTAACAGGATGGGCGGCAGGTCTTTAGAGAGTGTGTCCAGCCAGGCCATATACAGAGCGCTGGACACGGCTCCTTTCCTGGCCAGCGGCATGCTCCTGTCAGACACACACAAACATTAGTGCTGCTGGAAAATAACGAAAGGAACTCACTCAAAAAACATGATCATGACAATGGCTTCATGTTCTCCTGCATTTTCAGCTGTTTTGGAGACACTACAGTAGCAAGAAGCAAGCAACTTTATTTATATAGCACATTTTTTAAACAAAGGACGTTGCCCCAAAAGTGCTTTACAGAATAATAACATGAAAGTCATACAACAAAACAGACTACAAATAAGTAAGTATTCAAATAAGTAAGTATTTAAATAAGACTTAAAAGTTGTAATCGATGGAGCTGACCTCACATGGAATGGGAGACTATTCCAAAGTTTGGGACCTACCACAGAGAAAGCACGATTTCCTTTTGATTTTAAATTACAACGAGGTACCTTTAAAAGTCGTAGACCGGAGGACCTGAGAACTCGAAAAGGAGAGTAAGGAACTATATGATCGCTGATATACTGGGGAGCAAGGCCTGACAATGCCTTGTAAACAAACAAGAGTATTTTAAAATAAATCCTAAATTTGACCAGAAGCCAATGTAGGGATTGCAGTACCGGAGTAATATGTTCTCTCTTTCGCATCCCCGTCAAAAGTCTTGCAGCTGCATTCTGCACTAACTGTAGTCTGGGGGAGACCGATATATATAGAGAATTGCAGTAGTCAAGCTAAAATGTAATAAACGAACTACAATTTCTAAATCCTCACTAGATAAAAAAATGCTTTACTTTAGCAATTGATCTCAGGTTAAAAAAGCTTCCTTTGACAACAGCACTAAACTGTTTCTCAAAGTTAAGTGATGAGTCCATGATTACTCCTAAACTCTTTACATGATTCTCAGTCTTCAGGGATAAAGAACCCAAATGGATCAGGAATGCAAGATGAGACCGCCTACAATCAAAACCTCACTTTTACTCTCAGTTAATTGGAGAAAACAGCTAGATAGCCAGAGTTTAATGTCACTGTAACATCCTGTGGTTTGTCCAACGAACAGGTTTTATCTAGCCTCACAGGAAAGTAAAATCGTCTGCATAGCAATGATATGAAATGCTATACTTTCGAAAAACACTGCTTAAAGAAAACATGTAGAGCCGCGAAAACAACAACGGCCCAAAATCGACCCCTGATGGACACCACAAACTAAAGGGGCCAATGTGGAAGAGAAGTCTCCCAGATTCACAGCAACTGTCCTGCCTTTTAAATATGAAGCAAACCACTGAAGAGCTATACCCTGCACACCAACCCAACACTCCAGACGATTGAAAAGAATTTCATGATCTATTGTATCGAAGGCAGCGCTCAGATCCAATAAAACCAGAACAACATGCGAGTCCAACGATAATAATACTGTACATCATTAGTGACCTTGACAGTGCCGATTCTGTACTATGAGAGGTCCTAAAGCCTGACTGGAATGCATCTAAAATATTATAAGTATTCAGATATGAATATTACTGAATATTTATATATAACTATCACATTCAGTATGTGACTCTGATTGTTTACTGACATTGTCAAACAGATTCCAGGACTTGAGGACTTTAAGCACTACTTTCTTGGTTTTCAAGGACCACAATGAGATCACACTTATCAAACAATATCTTTAGGATTTTTAAAAAAAACTCAAATTACAGATAGAAGGTATCTAGAATACAACTTGCAACGCATTTAATAATATACATTAAGTAAAAAGTTTATAATGGCTATTTTATTGTTCTATAAATAATATTTGAATGATAAAGTTGGCATACTTCGTATCAAGAAAAGGTCTGATGGGGTTTTATCAGATGGGCTGCAGTGTTCATTTAGCATGAAAAGATTGTATTTGTGTGGGGTTTTTTTTTTTAAATGAATTTTCATATATATTATATTTAAATAAGTCAACCACTTTTCAAGTACCTCTTCATAAATATGGCTGTTTTCTATAGAAGCTTGTTTCCGCCACTGAATAAAAAAATATAATAAATAATTGTGACTTTTTATCTCACAATTCGGACTTTTTTTCCTCACAATTGCGAGTTTATATCTCACAATTCTGACTTTATTTCTCTGAATTGCGTGATATAAAGTCGCAATTGCGAGTTATAAAGTCAGAATTGTGTGTTATAAAGTCAGAATTGCGAGATATAAAGTCAGAATTGTGTGATATAAAGTCGCAATTCTGAGAAAAAAAAAGACAGAAGTGTTACTTTTTTTCTCACAATTGCGAGTTTACATCTCGCAATTCTGACTTTATAACACATAATTGCGAGTTTATATGTCGAAATTCTGACATCTTTTCTCAGAATTGTGAGATATAAACTCGCAATTGCGACTTATTAGGCCAATTCTAAGGGGGAAAAAAAGACTAACTTTTTTCCCCCTCAGAATAGTTTAAATCTCACAATTCTGACTTTATATCATGCATTTCTGACTTTATAACACGCAATTGCGACTTTATATTTAGCAATTCTGACTTTATAACTCGCAATTCTGACTTCATATCTCGCAATTCTGACTTTATATCTTGCAATTCTGACTTTATAACTCACAATTCTGACTTCATATCTCGCAATTCTGACTTTATATCACGCAATTCTGACTTTATATCTCGCAATTGCGACTTTATATCACGCAATTCTGACTTTATATCTCACAATTCTGACTTTCCATCTCGCAATTCTGAGAAATAATGTCAGAATTGCGAGAAGTAAAATCACAATTGTGAGAAAAAAAGTCAGAATTGTGAGATAAAAAGTCACAATTACCTTTTATATTTTTCATTCAGTGGCGGAAACAAGCTTCCATAGTTTTCAAGGGTTTTTCAGGACTTAAAATTCAAAAAGTCATATTCAAGCAGCGTGAAGCTATAACTACTTGAAGTACTTTAATCTGGTTAAATCACTACGCCAGTATAGGGTCAGGTTTGTAACTTACATGACTATGAGGTTGGCTGTGCTGGAGTGCTCCTTCAACAGCTCGTTCAGCCGGATCTGACGGTTACTCTGAGGAAACACAAATCATTTCACAGGAAGACTGAAGTTACTGTATATGTTAAAGAAAACACACTTCAAGGAAACAAATGCACACCATCTTTTCACCTCACTATTCTATTTAAAGGAGAACTCCGGCGAACAATAACCCTTTGGTCTAATCAAATATCAGTACCTACCTAGTCAATCGTTCTCTGAGATTTGTTTTCATGATAATGGAATGTAAAGAGTTTTATCTCTAAAAACTGTTTAGCGCATAATGCTAGTAATGGGGGCATTGACTAAGTAAAAAGAAATCGCTAGTTTATACCACTAACAAGGCTCAAAATGGCCCCACACTAACGCATTTACATAATGAGGCTCCATACATGCAAAATGAAGCATCGAGAACTTTGTAAGTGTACAGACCGTTTAATAAGAAGATACTTTATGAAGAAAGTACACTTCGCGTATACAGACAGGAGACATCTTAGGAAATAGTCTCGATAAGTCAAACCACGAACGTCGTGCTGAGTGAGCTGAATTTATCGAGACTATTTCCTAATAGTTCCTGTCTGTATACGCGAAGTGGACTGTCTTCATAAAGTATCTTCTTATTAAACGGTCTGTACACTTACAAAGTTCTCAATGCTTCGTTTTGCATGTATTGACCCTCACTATGTTACTGCGTTAGTGTGGGGCTATTTTGAGCCTTGTTAGTAGTATAAACTAGCGATTTCTTTTTACTTAGTCAATGCCCCGTTGATGCCCCGTACAAGCGTTATATTCCATTCGATTATCATGAAAACAAATCTCAGAGAACGATTGACTAGGTACCAATGTTTTATTAGACCAAAGGTTCATTATTCGCCGGAGTTCTCCTTTAATTTACTTTAGCAGGAAAACAACATTTGAGACACACAAAGCACCCATACATCCATTCCCTGATCTCAGATGGGTCGAGGACCAAGAGAAGCACAGACACAGTTCTCAGCATTAGTGAACACACAAATGCTAAAGTGGACTAAAAAGAGGAATAAAAAAATTGTCCTTGTGAATGAATAATGTATCATAAATAAATAAATGTTCTTTTAATGCAGGGGTCATAAGTCAGGACAGTCAGGACACCCCTGTGTTAAATCCCCAGAGAAGCGCAGATTCATGTTTAAAGGGCAGTTATTTCATGATCCAGGTGCATCTTGATAAAGTTCCCTTGGCCTCTGGCTATTATCTATTATCCATTAATAGTGGATACTTTCATGCGCTTTCGTGTCCAAGTGTCTGCTATCAGACCTGTTGAAGTGCAGTTTCTGTTCATGTGTGCTGTGTGTGTGTTGTTAACCCTATATAGCCTACCCTTCATACAGTTAGGATGATACACATGCATTAAAATGTGATATTGTCCGCACACCACTTGCATTTCGTTTGGTCACACACCACATGGTGTCACTGTGGCCTCAAAACTTCAACACTGACACTGAGGTTGATTGCTGATCAGTTAAAACACGCCCCCTCATTAGCATACGGAGAAAGAAATGTATAAATAAATAAATGTATAAATAAATAACTGTGGAAATAAATAAACAAGTGTAGAAATAAATGTGAAAATAAATAAATGTAGAATATAAATATATAGAAATAAATAAATGTACAAATAAAAAAAATAAATAAATGTGTGAAAAATACAATTTACATTAATAAGGAAATAAAAGTATAAATATTGATTTTTGTACTTTTTTACATTTCTTTGTATATTTATTCATATATGTATTTGTACTTTTTTTACATTTCTTTGTATATTTATTCATTTATGTATTCGTTCTTTTTTACATTTCTTCGTATATTTATTTATTTATTCTTAATTAAGTCAGCTTTGGCAGTCCATAAGCGCGGGCGGTAATGCACTCACTCTGTGTGAGCGGGTTGCGGGAATAAAATGATTTGCGGGACTCCCACAAACTAGAAATATCTATGAATAAAACCGAATAGATTTTATTCAGCTGTTGCAGAAAAGCAACAAGAACAACATTTACAGGCCAGCGTTGCTATTCATAATATGTTTGCAGTGTTGAGCGATGTACTGTCAGCTATTTAGGAATTATTATGGGAGCACACTTTGCGCGCATTCATTCATGTCAGACCATGCACGCAGTAGCCTGCTTGCTTTTATGTTAAATAAACAGTGTTTTATGTGTTAATGCTTTAATAAAAAATTATTTATTATAAAGGTAGGGTCAGGTTTTGTTTACATCCATTTTATTTATTGTTTTTGGTATTTATTCAAGTGCATTATTTGTTAACAGAGAGTGAGAGTCCATTGCTTTTATTGTTTTTGGTTGTTTTGTTCATTTATTGTAGATATTTAAAATGTTTTCCATTTTCAGTGTTAAATAGTCATTAGAAACAAGTTTATTGATTTTTGAAAAGATGTACCTGCATTATTATGCCATTATCATTATTTTAGATGTAAATGGTCTCAGATCGACAATATTATCGTTTATCTCAATAATTTGTTGGACAATTTATCGTCCAGCAAAATTCGTTATCGTGACAGGCCTATCTGTGGGTTCAGAGCGAAGTTTGAGGGTTCAGAGCAAAGTCTGTGGGCACAGAGCGACACGAGGGTGTAAATAACAGAATTTCCTTTTTTTTTTAACCTATTAAGGCCCGTTCACACCAGGGGTGCTTCTCCTTTCTTATTTGTGCATCCTCGTTTCCTTTCCTCACTTCCTTCCCTCGCGTCTCAGCTCCATGTATCCCTGTAGGACGCGAGGAAAGGAAACGAGGACGGAGGAATCGAATAAAAGCTTTTTTATATACATTGGAATACTTGATCACTCGAGCGTCACTCCACAGTGTCATCAGCAGCGCTAAAAGGATCTGCCCTTATGTTGTTGAAGTTTGGTTATTAAATAAATTCATAATAAATAATAATAAAGATAAGCTACACTGTTGAAATATGTGTGGTTTATATAAACTGCAAAGGTAAAGGATAAATTAAAATGATTGTGACCGATGTGAAGGGGGAGGAGAATTGATATGTGCGTCACGTGTAGTCAATAAAACAGTTCCACATAGGATGCACCCGTGTATCCTCGCTCATGACTCCTCTGGAAGTTTCCTCACTCCTCGATCCTCGACTCCTCATGGTGCAATTAGAGAATTGAGATGTCCTTTAAGACAAAGAACGTATATTGACAAGAAGTGAAAGCCAATAGAACGTTCCATTGCAACACCAGCGCCCAGCAGCAGCCCTACGCTTCCGCCATTTCGGGGTGAAAGCGACTCGTCATATAATATACATATATTTAGTCCAGTGCAGAGATCATTTTTAGGTTGAAATAATTAGGCTAGGTGATTATTTAACTCACAACAGTTAACTTTATAGCAGTTAAAAAAGAAGTTGCTACTTAACCGGGCTTTTATACCCCCACATAACTTGAGACAGGGAAGTTTGAGGATTTAATTAATTATATTACTCTCCACATTAAGTGTGATAGGTAAGAATAAAGTGATATCAGTTCATAAAGTTATAATAACATAGACCGTTTCCCGGGAGGTAGGCCTACACATAACGTTACTTACAAAAATAAATAAGTTATCAATGAAATAAATTCAGCAAATAAATGTTGCACTAAAATGTAAATGTTTGACAATAAATATATAACAGCAATAGAATAGCTTTACAGTAAACAGTTGTTTTTTTTTCAGTACTAGCCTATCTTATATTAAAGGATTAGTTCAATTTTGAAAAAACTTTTGCTGATAATTTACTCACCCCCATGTCATCCAAGATGTCCATGTCTTTCTTTCCTCAGTCGAAAAGAAATTTAGGTTTTTGATGAAAACATTCCAGGATTTTTCTCCATATAATGGACTTCAATGGGAACCGGATGGTTCAAGGTCCAAAAGACAGTTAATAACAGTTTCAGATGCAGCTTCAAATGTCTTTAAACGATATCAGACGATGAATAAGGGTCTTATCATGCGAAACGATCGGTTATTTCAAAGCTTATTCCAAAAATGTAACTTTTCTAAGGACAAATGCTAGCCTTTCTCCATTCTGTGAGGCGCGTTTGTAACGTCACGTAATACGTAATTACGTTCAAAAGGTCACGGGCGACGTAGCCGGAAGTACAGAATAAAAATCGTCCGACATCGCTGTTTTACCTTTTAATTCCTTTTTTGTAAACGGCGTTTGAGTTAGTTTTGACGTTCAACCTATGCGTTCAACTTGTAAACACTCTGACTCTGTACTTCTGGCTACGTCGCCCGTGATCTTTTGAACGTAATTACGCACTAAGTGACGTTGCAAACGCGCCTCACAGAATGGAGAAAGGCTAGCATTTGTCCTTAGAAAAGTTACATTTTTGGAATAAGCTTTGAAATAACCGATCGTTTCGCATGATAAGACCCTTATTCATCGTCTGGTGTCGTTTAAAGACATTTGAAGCTGCATCTTTTGGACCTTGAACCATCCGGTTCCCATTGAAGTCCATTATATGGAGAAAAATCCTGGAATGTTTTCATCAAAAACCTAAATTTCTTTTCGACTGAGGAAAGAAAGACATGGACATCTTGGATGACATGGGGGTGAGTAAATTATCAGCAAAAGTTTTTTCAAAAGTGAACTAATCCTTTAATGACGCAAGACCATGTAAACAAACAAACAAAAAAAAAAAAACAGCCAATGTCCAAAGTGGCAATTAGTTATAGAATAACGGACACCGCGCATCAATGATCATCATGTTTGTAGCATAATCCAGGCCAGGGGATTAAAACGTCCAAAATATATTTCAGGCCTAGCGGAGTTGGTAACTAATAATAGTAGTAAAAGTGTAAAGTTGCATACAATGGAAATACTCACTAATGCAAGAAAAACTACCTAAAAAAACTGTAATCTGTGCTGTTGTCCAGTAACTCCAGTTGGAATTTTCACCCCGATATGGCGGCCGCGCTACCGAAGCGTCATCTAGTGGCTGTTACCAAAAAAGCATCAGAGTTTCGCCTCTTGTTCTTCTATACTCTTTGTTTAAGATGGCTGAGCTCGATCGGTTTCCGGGTAATAGGATGGAAGACGGAGGAGCGAGGAGAAGAGGAGGGATATTGAGAAGCACCCCAGAATGCTGACTATATTAGAGTCCATATCAGTGGGTGATATCATCCTGTTTATTATAAACCATGCAGTTATGTCATCTTGTGGATTTCCTTATATTTTAATAATCGTTCTAATTCTATAGGATGGTTATTAAAACATAATAGTTATCGTTATAGTTATTGTCCTTGTGTGAACAGGCCTTTAGGAATAATTCTATCCGCTACTGCTTGCAACTAAACTCACATGCTGTGCTTTGGGTGGCACAACACTTCTCACCATCTCTGCTTGATGGGTTATCTAGTTTGGGTCATTAGTTTGGGTCATCTAATCTAGTTTACTGAGATGATCAGCAATGTGTGTTGAAACCTTGGCTTTGTAGAGCTCCAGCTCGTTGTCAGTGATTCTCCAGGGTTCTTCGCTCTTCATCTTCTCAGCCGCGTCCTGCTCCATATCGTCTTCTCTCAGTTTATACTGCTCGATCATCTCAGCAAACTCTGTCAGACTAAATGACAAACACACACACACACACACACACATTGTGAAAGCTGAAGTGACATGTTCACAATGTTCTCAGGAATGAGACAACTGGGATGATGGGAATCTCGAGGCACAATAAAAAAAATAAAACATAACCCCCCCCCCCCCCACACACACACACACACACACACACACACACACACTGCTTCATGTACTATGCATCCGTTTATATGCTTTTGGAAGTTTTGATTCTTTCTCAAGGGTTTTACTGAGTGTGATTGGCAGAACATGCCATAGTTTAATTTTAACTGTTGGTGGTGTAAACCGAGTATATTCAGATTTTCATGGATTGATTCAGAATCATTCAAATTGCATTGTTGAATGGATTTTCTCTTGCCTTTAGCTGTTAAAATATCAACAAGACCCAAATACAAAACCAGCACCCAAATGCAGTTGAAATTACACATATTTAACACACACAGACAAAGAAAAGGATTAGAAGTGAAGCAGATGCAAGTAATATCCCATTAGGGCTCTTCTGAGAAGTGTCATGCAGATCTTACCCCTCTGACTTGGGCTTTGTATTGACGTCGCCCAGGACAGTGATGTCAGAGAAATCGATCCTGAACTTGCTGAGCAATGTGGCCATGCTGAGGAAAGAGCAACATAGTCATCACATATTTATCAGGCAATCATAAATAATGCACACAATATTGCCACCGCTTCCTTGCAGCTCTGACAGTTCTTCACATAGAAGGAAGGAAGCGGTTCTGAACGCTGGTGATGAAGACTCCAGTGTGTTAGACTCAACAGAAACCTGTGCAGATGAACATGTGAAAGACCTCACAGTCTCTATGAAGACCTTACCGCTGGAACACTGATAATTATAGCGAACAAAGGCACTGGCAGCTGCAGAGGACAATGGGAAACATTTGTCTCACACAAACACACACAGAGCGCGTGTGCCACAGAGAGTGCTTTATGTAAAAAGAAACCGCATACTAGTCCAGCTCGCTCGTCTGTGTGATCTCAACTCTACAGGACTAGCCCTGACATCTGTGAGATGAAGTCAAATATCAAAGAAAAGCATATTCTTATAGTTCATTTGAGTCATGCATGTTGAATGTGTTCTTCTACAGAAAAAAGAAAGAAAAGCATATTCTTCTCATAGAATTCTAATATAAATAATGCAGTAATGACACTACGTGTGTGTATGTATGTAGTATTGATGTACGCACGCTCTGCGGTCGTGGTCGATCCGGTTGATCTTTCCTCCAATGAACACGCGGATCTTACAGTCCTTCCATTTCTTCTTGTTGGCGATGAGATAAGGGATCAGCAGAGTCAGACCTGGAACAGAGATTACACACATTACTCATGATCTAGCAAGAGAGGCAGCTCTACAGATGATAAACTTGACATGTAATACGAGGGTCAGTCTGTGAGAAGCATCAGTCAGGCTGTGGTGTTTCCAGCAGCTCCATGTCAAGTTACCTTCGTTTATATAGCGCTTTTAACAATGTAGATTGTTCCAAAACTACTTTACAGTGATAATAGGAAATTAAAATAACAGAGATTGTTTAGCCTTTACAGCAGCTCTAGAATAAAGTTATTGTCCAACTTAAGTTAGTTTTGATTGATTCACTTCCGTCGCAAAGACCATTAGCTATTAATTTCGGGGCCGCTAACATGATACCGTTTTAACACAAAACTCATAAGTTCTTCTCCCTAAAAAACCAACCCTCAACAAACTACTTGTCTGGCCTTAATAGTAGGGAGGTTAAGCCCAAAAAATAGGCCTTTGACTTCAAGTCATGATGCAAAGGTCGCCTTTGGTATGGAAGTACCTAAGGGTCATACAAATAAATTTATCATAAGAAACAAGTGAGATCACACTTTGCATCAGAAATAAACATGTTTTTTCAAAAATGGCCACCAATGCACCGAAAATACTCTAGAGCCCATATCTTTCCTTCTGTTATCGCTATAATGACAAATTCAGTGTCAAAGTGTACATTTTTGGGGTCAAGGAATCCAAAGAAATTGGTTTCAAGTTTAAAAAAAAAAAAAAAAAAAATTCCCCATACCATGACACAGTGTTGTAGTCGAGACCACCTCACTCGAGTCCGAGTCGAAACCGAGACCAGAGAGAGTCGAGTCCGAGTCAAGACCGAGTCCATAGAGAGTCGAGTCCGAGTCGAGTCCGAGACCAGAGACGGTCGAGTCCGAGTCGAGACCGAGACCAGTGAGGGCTGATTACCTAATTTACTTTTGTTTACTTAGAGAAATCCTTTATTTTTACTGAATTTACTTAGAGTTTAAAAAATATGATCAGTTTAGGGTAAAAAGGCCACATAGTAGGTGGTGTTAAAAGTAATTTTATTACAATTTGTCATGCGCAGTTGCGCACTAGAAAATCACCAATCACTGGGCGTGTCAATCAATTTAAAGAAATATTTTATTAACATACATTAATAATCATGAAAAATATTTTGAATTGAACTCGAGTGGACTCGGGAATAAGTCCGAGTCCTAAAAAAAAAATGTTCGAGTACGAGTCAATTCCGAGTCCAAATGCACACGAGTCCATGACAAGACCAAGACCATTAAAATATGGTCTCGAGACCGAGTCCGAGACGAGTCCGAGTCTCGAGTACTACAACACTGCCATGACAATTGGTGGTAAATATGCACATTTCACATAAAAATTGTGTCATCAGAGTGACTTTACTTATCTTTTCGCTCAAAAACTAATTTTGTATTTAAGCAGTGCAGCTACTTCTGTACATTACTGTACATTTGTCCTAAGTAGCATGAGATTTCAACCAGTCAGGAGTAGCCTATAGCAAATCAGTTCCTGCAACAACACATCCTATCTGCACCAGGAGCTGTGACAGCTGTTGAAGGTCAGAGGTGACAGGTTAACACTTTAAGGTTTGTACGACTTTCTTGTTAAATAGAAAAATGTTTTTAATGTTCTATAACTAATAACTCAGAGTGATCTCATGAAGTAGCGTGTGTATGACACGCCAATTCGTATTTCCATTTTTGGCGTGCTATCAACACGCATAATCGCTTTTCAGTGTGTTTATGAACGCCGTTGACTTAACGTTATTACTGTATCTATAAATAAATGACTTACCTCAACCCTGTCCCTAAACCTAACCGTCACTGGGGTTAATGGCATTTATTAATGTTCCCTTACCATCCTAGGAAAGAAACACAAAGCTCCCCAGATGTAGATGTACATTTTGCTTTGTTTTGCTCGGACATTTGACAGTGTGCACAGACACGCGGAATGACGCGGAATGACGCGGACGTTAATGGCGTAGACATAGACGCATACACGCAGATAGCTCAAAACGCGTCGAGATAACACGCCACTTGACTCGAAATTGGCGTCTATGTTTACGCAAAGTCATGATGTCATGTTGAATAACTAGCTAGATAGTTGACTATGGAAAAAAACAACCTTAGAGGGAAAACCTCTTCTCGAGAATACTGAAGGCAAAAATTATCCTTATAATTTGTATTAATTTAAACTCACTTGCTGCAGCTAGCAGACCTAGGCGAGGCAGCTCGCGCACCTATTGGCTGCTCTGCAGTAGAGCCCTGCGCGGGACTGTTTTCTTCATCCCGCTTCCGTCCACGGCCGCCAAATTTCTGACCATTACCGCCCGCTCTTGCAATATATATGTCCACTCCTGGCTGCACCCGCAAAACTCTGAGAATTTATTCCCGCACAATAATAGAGATTATTTTGTGTCTTCTCCCATCCCACAGGAAAAAAACACATATTTGTATTGCTATTATTAAAGAGAATCATGGGGTTGTTTTTTCGTTACCCTGGCCTACATGTCTTTTGACACACTGATCAGGAAATGAATAAAAGTCCAAATGTCAGACTTGCCTTGCTTAGGTTGTGTGCTGTAAATACCTCGTTTGAGGATCTTTTCCACATCATTTATTGACATCTCCATCATGTCGCTAGACTACCTCCCGATCCCGCAGTTTTTTTTTTAGCCGCTCATTCCCGCCCGCAGCAAAGTTCAAACTGCCCACTCCCGGGAGATTTGTGTTGGGTCCCGCGGGACCCGGCGGTACTCAATCCCAATGCAGCCCTCAACTCTGTGGCAACTGCTGCAACCTATAGACCATTTCACAAGATGTAAACAACACTGGTCCTGAAGCACTTCCTGTTTCAGTTTTTTAACACTACATAAAAGCTGGGATAAAATACAACCAACAGAACATTTAAAACTGAATCAAAAAGTTAAATAAACATCTTTAAGATGTTTTCTTTACATGTGAAATAAAGAAAACAGTTACAAACTGAAACAGGAAGTGCTTCTGGACCAGTGTTGTTTACATCTTGTGAAAACTTTGGGGTCTTTTTGACCCGCAAATGAAAAAATGTTCTCTTTTTCCAAATGGTATGAAACTTTCTACGACTCTTAACACTGTCTAGATCTACCCAAAAAAAAAAAAAAAAAAAAAATTTGAATGATATCTGTTTTTATGTTAGCATGAAAAAAAATGCCAACACTCTTTATCTTCGGGGTCCCTGGAGACCCCGCATAGTGAATATACAAAATTCATCATTAAAATCAGAAACAACGAAGAAACAACGCAGATCACATAGACAGAAATAAAGTGGCACACTTCCAACAATGCAAAAAAACATCCACAATGCACACACACACACTTCAAATACCAACACCTCCAGTAAACAGTAAACACCTTCAGTGCACCACCAGTTATTGTTCCTAATTGTTCACACACACACACACACACACACACACACACACACAAAATCCAATCAGTTTTTTTTAGGAAATCGTTTATTTATTACAACAATTTTATTTTTTTACTGCTTTATATGCTCATTTGTTATTGCTGTTCAGTTCATTGCATTTTTATGTTTTGTTTTTTTTCCAATATGTAATATAACTGTTCATTTCTGTTAAATTTTGTTCTTTTGATTTTTGTTCTTTTTTTAAATCAACTGAACGTTGATTTAAAATTATAGAATTATATTAAAAACAGATAATTGAAATAAATGATCAAATCTAAAGACTCCAACATTTCTCTTTGTAACATCTTGTTCAGTTTTGATTCTAATCATAATGTAACATTATTGAAAAACTTTTGTCAGTACAAAAAATACTTAACTTTGACAAAAAGTTTTTTTTTTTTTTTTTGGTTATAATTGTGATTGTATAATATTTAGATATGAATCCAACTGGAAAAACTTGTGAAATATATATATAGTTTGGTTAGTCAAATAGCAAAGAGCTTATAGTGGAGGTCTATGGCCATCTAGTGGTTAAAGTGATATTTTTTTATTTTAAAACTGCATTTTCCAAAAAATTGTTTTATAAAGTGAATTTTACATACAATGCAGTTTTTGTAAAAAGCCTATTTAAATAAATATTTATTTATTAATTTATAGAATTTTAATTTTAATTGAAAAGATATAAAAAATCCTCCAAAAACTGCACAAATGTTGAGTAAAAACATTAATAAATAGAGTAAAACTACATTTGTAAAAAAAAAAAAATATATATATATATTATACGGCTTCAAAATTAAATGTTATTGTCTGGGGTCCCTGGAGACCCCAAAGATAATGAGTGTAGACACAAATGAAGATAATAGAAGGGTTAAGATAAACACATACAATAGCTTCAAAATTCTTATTGTATATAATAAAAGTGCTGCATCTTTTTTTTACAGCAGTAAATAGTTACTGTAATACAGAGTAGAACAATTATCTGCCACAATGAGCAAAGAATACATTATTTTTTCTAAGACAAAATCCACAATTAAGGCAACAGGATTACAACATTATATAGGCCTATATGACATAGTTTTGGTGACCTGGATTGTTTGTTTAGCATCAGCATTTCCTCAGAGCTCTGACTTAATAATGATCATCATGTAGCTCTGAGTAGCTGGAGATATGTCCACCTGAAAGAAGTATAGGCCTACAGGTCTTTATTTCCCAGATTACTCCCACAAATGCATCTCCTGTTTTTTTTTTTTTTCATGGCATGATTCATTTTATTAAAACATAGAATTAACTCTGTAAAGATAGTGATAGTAGTTACACCATGTCCCTTAATCATGAAGATTATTTTTTATTTATATCGGCCACGCACACTCACGAACTGACTGAACGCTGTGTTGATGTGTGTGTGCACGGCACGCGACCAGTCACGTGTGATGATCGTTTGACAAAAGTCTGGATGTCATATTTGGCACGCGCAGCAGCACTGCAGGAGAGCGTAAGACGTGCCTATGTTCTGGATTCTCCTGCTATTAAATAATAAACTATATCATCACATTAAGTTGATGATTAAGGGGAGACTAAAACAGCCCTCAGTCCGACGGCCAGCCCACGAGTATAATCTCCGCGTGTCTAATGTGCTGCAATTTGTTTGTTATGTCAGATGTCTTTTGACAAGACTACAATTTTTCAACACGCCAAAGTGGCTAGTGGGTGTGACTGTGTTACCCGCCACGTGTGAAATCCACCCCCATTTGGCGGGTTGGCGGGTGTTAATGTCAAGCCCTGTACACAAATACATATATACATACATACAAATATATACACGACAACCCTAATCAACATGAAACTCCTCTCATGAATTGTGGTCGTGTTTTTGGGTTTCTCTTACCATGTTGCGAATCATATTTCTGTAAACTAATGTCTCTTTACTTTACTGATTACCAGGAGATTTTATCATTTCAACATAACGGCAGCTTTTAAATACAAGTCTGTAATTTGCAATTGCTGTTTCCATGACATTAAAGCGTAACTAAACCCCTGGTCAGAGCCTGACTCCACCCACTGGCAATATTTGAAAATGCTGAAAAAGTGGGCAGACCCCAGAGGGGATAGAGGGGACGAAATAGATGCTAAAACACTCTATCCTGATCGTTTTCAATACTCACAATTCCAATTCCTGACTCCCTACAGTGGTTTTGACGACACAAGATTTTTATACTACCAAGGGCGTAGCTCGCGTGGTGAGCTGAAACCTGGGTATGTCACGAAGTGCGGAACATCCAATAGGAAAATTCAACTGCAGTAGCCACCGTTCAACCTGAAGAGGGCAGCACTAAGACGTTTTTACACCATATATTGTAGAAATAAATCACTTTATAAACAAATGTCAAAAAAGTTACTCGAATCAATGACTGGTTTTAATAAAGATCCATTCTTACAGATCATTAACTAAAAAAGTTGGTTTAGCGTTTAGTTACTCTTTAAGAACAGACTGCAGTCACAAACAGAAACTATTTTTCTTTCTTTTTTGTGGTTGAGCCAGTAAAAAACTTGGCAGGACAAGTTAAGATCTGCTAGATTATTTAGTCTCTTGATCTCAGTTATTCCCACTGGCAGCTCTGGAGATACTCCAGACAGAAGGCTGTGCAGCTTTCCCAGCTTTACTCCGCCAGAGCATTAACTTCCGCTAACAGAAAGAGGAAACTTTGCCTTTGCCGGCAGCCAAAGTGGTTTGGGATTTAGGAACACGCCTCCCACTGCATGAAAATGTGTGGCTTGTCGGACATGGCAACAGAAAACAGTAATCATTGCGAATGGTCAATTGTAAGTTTGCACATGTTTTACACTTACCCCCATCATCAAAGAGCCACCAAACGTCAACCGTGCCCTTGCCCTGCTTCTGCTGGAACTGCTGACTTGCGTCCAACAGCCGCTGGTCCATCATGTTCAGAGGAAGCGTCGGGCTCCGTTTATCTGGAGTCACAAACACACACTATCACACTCCATATCAGGACACACACACCAATAACAATAATCCATGAGCAGACAGAAGAAAGGAAAGACTGAGGCAGACTCTTCAGTGGGAAAGACAAGCAACCCTTTAGGAAGACACAGAATTAGAACGTGACAGGAAGTGACATCATCGGAGCTGAAACACAAACACATCTAGATCAGGTCAGAGGTCACACCAGCAGAAAACACTCAAAGCGGCGATCCCTAAAAAGTTGCAGAGAGAAGGAGCATGCAGGTGCGAGACAGAGCGGAGTGTGAGAACGAGAGACACGTGCCTTTCTTCAACAGCGGCCGTGTGTGAGCTTTGCCATCATCATCCTCATCTAGATAAACACACGAGAGGGTTAGAGTCGCTAATGCTGCGATGGGAAACATGTGCGTCAGTCACACAGACATGTGTGCTGCAGTGTACTATGAGGCAGGTGACCTGCTGAGAAACCTCTATCATCTTCATCATTAACACACACACACACACAAACTCATGCTGTCTGTGGTCCAGATCGTAAGCAGCTTCATTATGAATCTGTGAATTATGATCGAGCTGCTGCTGTATGAGCTCTATTACCCAGAAGTCTACACGGCATCAATACAAAAAACATAACCCACTTCATTTCTATTCCCTATAGACGGCACTCTGAGAAACCCAATCTAGCCCTCATGTGCTGTCCGCTCAGGGTAAACTCACCCCAGACCAGACAGGGATGGAACAATTAATTTATATCACTTACTCTATTCAGGTTCTTACATAATAAAATGTAAAATCTTACATCATAAAATATGTATTATTAGGATAAAATTAACATTTGTCAAAGTTTTCTTTTGTATTTCAATGTGTGTGTTTGCATTTGTTCTCCATCTGTAATGGCGTCACTTCATTTCTGTGTGTTCTGCATTCTAGCTGAAGTTTTTATTTGTTTTGACAAATTATGCAAGATAGAGCAACTTGTCTCGCACATTCATCTCCGTGTGTGGGTTTTGATGGCAGGGTGTACGCGTTTACTTCACAATTATCAAGCCATTTAGATGAAGGGAATTATTTATTTATTTAAATAAGGATTTATTTGGATTAGGGTTAGGAACTTACCCTTTCAGCAAACATCATCTGGGGTATGAACAGTGCATATGGCTTTTTAGTCCCAAATCAAGTGTGCATTTAGAAACAAGTTCATGTTGTCAGTGTTGTGCTAGAAATTTTGCAAATGCAAGCCAGTGAACGCTTCAGGTGTGGGCTAGACCTGAACACTTCTGTGAACACACATTTAGGAAAATGGGTGCACATAGTGACAGGCCAAACTCTGGTTTTGAGACAGCAAATTCTGCTTCCCTAAAACCATCTGACCACTGAAGCGTCCATCTACAGCGGCCGTGTGTCCGTTCTGGTTGTGTTGTCCAGTGTTCTCATCTGCCTGACCCCTGGTGATCGCCGCTTGCAGCTATATTTGTTTTTTATAATTATTTTCTCAGCCTTCAGAGAGCGCTGTGATGTCAGATGGTGCTGAGAGGGCCCAAACCTAAGACCTTCATGCCATTTATCATGGACTAACTACAAACATGACAAGTCGAGTAAACACTTGCGGTTCCCAGACACATCTGAGCTTCTCAGCACACATCTGAGAACACGGTTTGTTGTTTGTTGTGTTGTATTGGGCAGACATTTCAGAAAACACATGGAGTGTGGATGATTTGGGATATAAAATGCTTCTGATGAGAACCAGGCCCAGAGAGACATGAAGGTCAACATATGACTTCTGGTCTTAGCAACCACTGCTTAAGAGGAACATTTCACCAAACTCCTGGGAAATACTCTCATCTGAGGTTTTGCTTTCAATATTTTCTCCAAGAACAGAAGATTATTTAAAGGATACGTATAACTCTGAAGAACAAGTGTGAAGTGCTTCTCCGTGAACACACAGAGATGTGAGGTGTGCTGACCTTTCTGCACGGCTGGGCTGTTCTGGACACTGGTGGCCTTGGAGGAGGGTTTAGACGAGTCTCCATCCGAGTCTTTACTCATGTCAACCGAAACCACCACATCCTTCAGACCTGAAGATTCATCTTTAGAGACAATGCAAAGTTCAGCTTTGAGGTCAAGGCAAATACAAATTTAGCGTGGATGCCAAGTTATCGGAAAATTACCTCATTACATGGACAATTTCATCTGCACAAACACTTAATGTCTAGAATCACGCATGCCCAGCTACGAACATCATGCTGTCCATCTAGATGTTTCAAAGACTTTAAGCACTTTCCTTCACTTTCCTGCTCTCATATGAACAGAATCAATATCATACTTGTGTAGTTCACAGCTAGTGAACCGCTGATGCCTGGTTCTCCTGAAGCTAACTGACAAGAACAACAGCACTAAGCAGAGGCACCTGATAATGTGCTTGTTTGAAGAAGTGACTGGATAATGTAGTAATAGATGTACAGCACTTTACCTTGGCCTTGAATGTGAGAAATATCGAGTCCCTCTCGCAGTCTGAGAATGACAACACCGTACTGAAAATCAAACGCATCGCTACACACACACACACACACACACACACACACACACACACACACACACACACACAAACAAACAAGAGTTAATGTCTCACAGGAGGAAGAACCAAACCATTTATATCAAAGCTGTGTTTGCTCATAAACATCCACTTGACGTTCATCAGGTAGATCCACTTGAAGAGAATGGGGCATATTTATGAAAAACAATGTCAGAAAACACTGAGTGCTCCCCCTGAGTCCTCTACCTGAAGGAACTACTTTGTTTGGACAACCAGTGCTTAACTTCAGCTGGTCCGTTATTGTGGATTTTTGCGTTTCCACATTTGTTTTTAAATAATCAGGCATAAAGAAGTGCATTCAATGGTGTGTGTGAGACACAGCAAGTTAATTTAATATTTATTTTGGAGGTTATGTTTAGCTATTCGCCCTCACCATCTGTATTCTTGACCAGCTTTCTCAAGTTCAAGAGAGTGTAGATACCCATTGATAATAAGTTAATATCACCAAATGTCAAAAAGACAGTCAAGCATATATTCCTTTTCCATATCCACGATTAAAGCTGATGGTGTTTCTGATCAAGAGAGATCCCGATAGAACTGCTAACACCAATGAGGATAGCAGAGACATGAGTCAGATCACTCACATTCAGAAGTCCACATTACCGGTGAGAAAATATCACTGATCAACTGTATAATTATTGGCCTCAATGTATTTATAAAAATCACATGACAGATACACACTCAGCTGTAGTCAAGGCTGTGCAGAAACTTGTGATGTTGTGTGTCATTCTGTGTGTGTTCTGGGAAAAAGTCTCTGTTACATATGGTAACCCTCGTTCCCTGAGGGAGGGAACGGAGATGTAGGTCATGACTGACTAACTTCGAGTGAATCTAAAACAAGCCAATGCACATTGGTGTGCAATCATTTGCATCAGCTGCACAGCCTTGTTAGCACGGGTATATAACAAGCAGCTGCTGCAATTGCACTTCTGTTTTTTGCTGAGGAGCCAATCCTGAGAAAGCTGGCCTCCCGGCAGGCAGCAACAGATATGGCAACGGGATATATGCCTCCGTTCCCTCCCTCAGGGAACGAGGGTTACCATACGTAACCAAGACATTCCCTATCGGTCAGTCACTACAACATAGGTCATGACTGACCAATAGGAATCCCTACCAAAGCGCCACAGCCGCTGCACCCCTTCCAGCACCCCATGCAAGCATCCGCACCTTCTTACCTGGAAAGACGATAGGAGGAGGGTTACACGGGGAGTGTCTGACACTGTTGTTCCGTGATAACCCATACAGTGAGACCTTGGATAATACTGGGAAAGCGTGCCCTTTTCTGAGGGAGGGGAACGCTGCAGAAGCCACATTCTTCAAAGAGTTATGTGGAAATACATATGCAGTACAGCCTTCGGGTTAGTCCATTTGAAATAATGGGTGACTTAGCCTAAGGGAAAGACACAGGCTTCCGTCTTAGGAGCAACCGTGGAATACATACACATATGGGATCCCAGTAGGGTCACACATATGGAACCCAGCCCTGGTCTTTCAAGGATTCAGCGGACAGGGGCCTGGCTGAGGGGTTTGAGGACTCAACAGGTTTTTCACAGAATAGGGATGCACAGTGGGGTGCAGCAAGCCGACAGAGACGGGCCTCTCAGTGCTTCTACCCGTTTAGGGTGAGAACACGGGAGGAGACCGTCTCTACACGAAGGCTATAGTATCTAGTGAACGTGTTAGGTGTCGCCCAGCCCACAGCTCTACAGATATCTGTTATCGAGGCGCCACGAGTCAACGCCCTGGAGGATGCGACACCTCTCATGGAGTGTGCATGCAACCTGAGCAGGCAGGGCACACCTTGACCTTGGTAAGCCAAGGCAATGGCTTCCACTATCCAGTGGGCCATCCTCTGCTTGGAGACAGCCTTCCCTTCTGCTGGCCTCCGTAACAGGCAAAGAGCTGGTCCTGATGCTTTGAGTTCTGCTGAGGAGGATTTAATAGTCTCACCCCCCTAAGAAACCTGACGACCAGGTCATGCTTTCCAACTGTTTTGCCATCAATATGGTCGTGATAAGCTGAAATAGCGGCAGCATGAACTTTGAGGATGGAGGAAGACAGTTTTCGCTCCAACCCATGCTGCAAGAAGGAAAGCGCAGACTCTATTGAACATCTCCGGGGGTCATCCTGGCGAGAAGAACACCACTCAACAAACAGGTTTCACTTCAGGGCATAGACATGTCTCATGGACGGCGCCTGTGCTGAAGTGATGGTGTTAAGTTCCTCTGTGGTTAAGACACCTAGAACCGTCCAGGGACCAGACATGGAGTTTCCAGAGGTCTGGACGCGGGTGCCATAGTGTGCCCGAGTCAGAAGATCCTTCCTCAGAGGAATGGGCCAGAAAGGGACTGTCACAAGGAGCATGAGTTCTGGGAACCAAGTCCCAGTGTCCTCCCTAACTTTGCACAGTGTCTGCGCAAGTAGGCTCACTAGGGGAAAAGCATATTTGCGAAGGACCCAGGGCCAGCTGTGTGCCTGTGCGTCTGTGCCGAGTATTCCCGGTCAGGGAGTAAAACAGCTGGCAGTGGGAGGTCTCTGAGGAGGCAAACAGGTGCAGAGTTAGATGTACTGCCAGCAACTTGAGATGAGGGTCCGTCCACACCCCTGATACTGCATGCCCGTTGCATGTGGCACCCCAGCCGGTGGCTGAGGCATCTGTGAACACCACAGCATGCCTGAATACCTGTTCAAAGGGGACTCCTGCCCAAAGGAATGAGGGATCGGACCACAAGCTGAAGGTCTGACGGCAGGCCGGTGTGATTGCCACCCGGTGAGTGCCGTGATGCAACGCCCATCTCGGGACTTGGCCGTGAAGCAGGGGCTGACGCTGTCTCATATGAAGCAAGCTGAGCGGGGTTACCACTGCTGCTGCTGCCATTTGCCCCAGGAGCCTCTGAAAAAATTTCTTTGGGACGGCCGTCCTGCCTTTGAATCTGTTCAAACAGTTCAGCACCGACTGAGCGCGCTGCTCTGTGAGGCGCGCTTGTCTTTGCGACCGAATCCAACTCCATACCGAGAAAAGAGATCCTCTGCACGGGGGCGAGTTTGCTCTTTTCCCAGTTGACCTGAAGACTCAACTGGCTGAGGTGCCTGAGCAGGAGGTGGCGTTCTCGGACCGTACACTGCTGCCGACTGGCGACAGAAGAGGAGGATGAGAGTGGTAAGGATTTTGTCCCGCCACTGCTCTGAGTGCTCTTTGGACCCAGAGATGGTAGAAACCGCTCTTTCACCATTGGTTGAGGCCAGCGGCGGAACAGAAAATTTTCCCTCCCAGCCCTCTTCCGGGGAAGGGAGCGGTGAGGCCACCGTCTCCTAGAGAGCAGTTCCATCCAAACTACCTGGGGCCACTTACCTCTGGCTTTGCTGCCCTTCTTGGCGTGGGCCTGGACGGGCGGGTGGCCTGCCTGTGACTGGCTCTACGGCGCTGTTTAGGTGGAGGCTGTTGCTGCGGCGCAGGAGCAAGGGCAGAAGCAGGAGGACACCCCCGGCAACGAGCAGACTGAGGAGCCGCGGGCGGAGGCAGCAACTGACCGCTTCTATACAGCCGAGAAACTGCTGGGAAAAGTTATCGACCGCGTCGCCAAAGAGGCTGGTCTGGGACACGGGGGAGTTAAGAAACCGGAGCTTGTTGGTCTCCCTAAATGTCGGCCAGACACAGCCAGAGATAGCATTCCTGGACCATTGTGTGTAGACATCGCACAACCCACCGACCGGGCGGAAACCTTCATTGCACAAAGCGCGAGGTCCGTTGCGGCATGGAGAACTTGTGGATCGTTACCACCCTCGTACAGCTCCATCAGTGCCTTGGCCTGATGGACCTGCAGCAATGCCATAGTGTGCATGGCAGAGGCAGCTTCCCCACAGGCCTTAGTAAAAAGTAAATGGTGCCGTCCATGTCCCCGTGAGCTCCTCATGCACTTCCGGGAAGAAGGGCACTGGGGTGGGTGGCTGAGAAACCAGCACGCGCTACCATGAGATCATCATCCAGCCTCGTGGGTTCGGGACACGGCGGAGGGTTCCAAACGAGCCCGACCCTGTTGGCGGCCCGGGAAAGCATGGTCATCATCTCCAGGTCTTCTCGGGCACCGCTGACACACCTGAAGGAGGAAGGAGGGAGCGGCTCCAAGACGTCATCTGCAGAGAAATCTGACC